TGTGTGTGTGTGTGTGTGTGTGTGTGTGTGTGTGTGTGTGTGTGTGTGTGTGTGAAGTTCTGTCGATCAAGCTAGGACCTTGCACACAAGCCAAAGGCTCTACCATTGAGGTACATCTTTAGTTTTTAGACTTTATGCTTCTGAAGTTGTATATTCAGGGGGATGAGAACATAAGGGAATGGGATGGTTGAGCTGGAATAGAAATGGAGTGGGAAAGCAATGAGAGAGATACTATGATGGAGGGAGATATATGGGGATAGAGAGAAATCTGGTGCTAGGGAAGTTGCCAGGAATCCCCAAGGATGACCCCAGCTTGGACTACTTAGTGGAGAGGGAGCCTGAACTGAACTGGCTTGCTCCAGTGATCATATCAGTGAATACCCTAACTGTCATCACAGAGCTTTTCTCCAATGACTGATAGAGGCAGATGCTGAGATCCACAGCCAAACACCAGTTCAGTCACAGAGAGAGAGGAGGGATTCTATGAGCAGGTGCATTGGGATCATGATGGGGAATCCTGCAGAGATGACCAAACCAGGCTAGTAGGAACTCATAAAAGTTGGATCAATGGCTGTGGAGCCTGCATGCAACTGACTGGGCCCTCTGCATGGTGAGACAGTTGTCTAGCTTGGTCTGCTTGGGGGCTCCCTGGTGGTAGAATCATAATTCATTACTGGTTCATGAGGGGGCTTTTTGGAACCCACTACCTATGATGGAATACCTTGTGCAGCCTTGAGGCAGGGTGAGGGGCTTGGACTTGCCTCTACTGGATGTGTCTCTCCATGAGAGACCATGCATTCTTGTGGGGAGGAGTATGAGGTGAGTTGGGGTGGGGAGTCTGGGGGAGCAGAAGGAGGGGGATCTTTGATTGGTGTGTAAAATGAATGAAGAAGTTTTCTTAATAAAAAAAACCCAAAACAACAAACAAACAAACAAACAAACAAAAGAGTAAGCTTCTCCCATTTCATGAGGATACAGGAAAAAGGTAACAAGACAGGATAACACTGACCCTCATGGGGACCTTTATCATTTAGATGTTATCATTATCCTGAACTTCTGAATTAAAAAATATTAAAGATTAAAAAAATAAAGTATTTAAGAGACAAGAGAACTGAAATGTAAACTGCTGCTGTTTACATCATGAATAAAATAATCTGCAGAAAAACAACAATTCACATAATGAGCCAAGTTGAGCACAGACTGTTTAGATGGAATGAAGGACTCATATCAGCTCTGTTGATGTGGTAATGGTGTGCTGGTCATGGAAGACAAGGTCCTTTCATAACTGTGGGGGAGGCATAGTGAAATGTTTGTGTGTGAAGTTACCTGATGTCCTGGACTCACAATACTGTGACAGTGATGACAAAGAGGGAATGTGAGTAGTTGAAACAAACTTGGAAAAATGGTTGCTGGAGCTGAATAATTGGACAGGGAAGTTCATGTGCTCTCCAGTTTTGTAAATGTTTGAAGATTTCATGATAATAACCCTTATTTTTATAATAGCCCACACTTCTTATCCCATTCCTGGCCCTGCCTCCTTAATTAGTAAGGAGAGGAGGAGACACAGTAGAACTAGGTGGGTGCTATCTGTGGGGGTCCCTTGTGGACAGTGTGCTGGGGAAAGTCAGCCTTTGCCAGGCAGAGCTCACTCACCGGTACAGGTTCCTCTCATTGTCAACCACCTCAGTAGCCACAGGTCCTGTAGGGCCCCAGAAGTCATCTTCAGTCCCCATTGATTCTAGGGACTTGTCTCTTGGAGAGTCAGGAGAAGACGGATGGAAGGGCTCCAGTGGTGCAAATTGTGAGCACCCCTCCTCTGGAAGAGGCCAGGAAGTAATCACTTTTTGTTTCCTCAACCTTCCCTAGTACTGGCAGAAGTCTGAACTATTTTGCAGGTTGGTCAATCTAGGCCTTACATCAGGAAGTATGTCTATAGACTTTATTGCTATCTCTGAGTTTACCTGCATGATACACACACACACACACACACACACACACACACACACACACACACACAGAGAGAGAGAGAGAGAGAGAGAGAGAGAGAGAGAGAGAGAGAGAGAGATTTGGTATTTTGTATTGTTTTCTTACCACTGCTTGCACCCTGAGCAACCCTACCACCCTAATATCTGCTCCCAACCCAGCTGTTGTGTTTCATTTCCTGCTGGTTCAGAAGTGTTGATTTTCCTAACATGTCTTCAGTGGGTAGGTTGTGAAAAGAACCTAACTGAAAAGATGAATGAGCATGGATGGAGGTGAGTCCCAGGCCATAGCAGCTCAGAATGAGACAGGGAGCCCTGGTACAGAGCCTGATGCCAGCCAGAGATTGATAGAGGGGCAGCGCCAGCTCCCAAGGCTGGGAGAGAAGGAAGCAGTGTTCCCTTTGTGTTCTAGTTGAGGAAGATCTTTAAATGGGTGGGGCTCTTTGTGGAGAGCCTGTACTGGTCCATGTCAGATACATGGGGATAAGAATGATTTCCAGCACACCTGAGATCATGTCTTCTGTATGTGAGAGGGAAGTTGAACCCATGAAATCTCAACAATATTGCTGTCTCTACAAGATCTGTACAATGACAACACCAGTTGTCATACTAATATGGATGGGGGAAATCTCACAAGGCCCTAGCTGCAAATAACATCTGCTAGAGAGGGATAAAATCAGTCCTCCTCATAAATAACTCCATAATAGGTTATCCAACCCCAAATGGTTAGCCTTCTATATATATATTTATATATATAAATTTATATTTATATATATAAATGTATGCATATATATATATTTAATAACAATATTTAAGAAGAATTCATGAATTAAAGAGTGAGAGTCTGTAGGTGGATCACAAGGAGACTTGGAGTGGGCAGATAGAGGAGTAGAAATGATCTAAATAGAGTACTCATACTCATGTTTAAATTCTAAAAAAAAAATTTAAAAAAGAAAGAAATGACGACTTCCCCCTACAGATGCCTCTTCGTCGAGCAGTCATGATGCTCTGGGTTTGAACCCTTTACATACCTGACTGTAGTCTCTGTTGCTTGTATGAGATCGGGCTATCACCTATCTCTTCTCCATCTGGGTTCTTAGTAGGGTCCATCACACGTGGCTTCCTAGACACAGACAAATTTTTTTCCCTCAGATGTCAGGAAAACCATGGAAATGAGAGTTGTGTGCATGAAATTCCCACATAAAATCTAAGCCATTTGAATTTGAACTCAGTCCCATGCTTCTTCTCTGGACTGTATCTCTAAGAATGTCCCCATCCTCCTGGGTGTCCATACCCCAGAATTGGGAACACCTCAATCCCTCCTTTGCTTTAATTTGAATGTGTTCCTCAATGTTTACTCATTAGAAAGTTAATCCCCAAAGCCACAGTGCTGATGGGATGAAGGATGAGACACAGTGAGGTCATGAGGGCTTTGCTTTCTTGAAGGGGTTAATGTCATCACAGGAATAGCTTCTGGTGGCCTGACAGGATTTGTCACAAAAGCCACCTGGCCTCTCATTCTCAGCCCTCTCAGTTGTGCAGTCAGATGGAACAGGAAGAAGGGTTTCCCTAGATGCAGGGTCCATGCCCTTGCTCTTCCCTGTATCCAGAAGTGCAAGAAATAATCTAAGTTCTTTATGTTAAGTGCCCAGTGTCAGATATTGTGTTATAGCTGCACAAAATAAACTGATAATCACTCACCCTGAATGATAATCACCTAGACAGTACCTTCTAAATCTCCCTCCTTTCTGTTCTCTACTCTCCTCCTCCACAGACTCCATCCTTGTCCCAGAATGGAGCGAACATAATCCTGAACCTCTGCAGCATCCTTGAACAGGTATTCCTGCTTCTGATCTGGTACCTTCTAGCTCATTTTCTGCATAGTAGATAACTATAAAAATAGGTGGAGATGCCCCTTCATGGCTGAGGTGCTGGAATGCCTCTTATTTCCTCTGGGGAGAAACAGAAAGTTCTTAGGATGGGTCATAGTTCTTGCTGTAGCCCCTGTCCCCCTCCAGGTCCTATGTCACCCTTTCCTGCTCAAATCTAGACCAGTGGCTCTCAAATCACTGTGTCAAAATGTTACCTGGACAGGCTGTTCAGTCAGAAAATTCACTGAAGGAAGCTGACTCCCTGGATATTCTGAGTCAGCAGGGATGGATTGGGGCCTGAGAACCTTCATTTCTGTGGCGCTCCCAGGTGATGGTGAGGCAGAGCAGATGGTCTCACACATGCTTTCCTGTACCCTCAATGGAGTTGCTTCCTTAGAACCTCTTTGTCTAGCTGGAATTTTCCTCTTCTTGGCTCATTCCTCATTTCCCATCTTTGAGAATTCACCTCAGCTCACCTCAGCTTTGGATGAGTTCAGAGAGTCCAACACTGTAATAATATGGTTCCCAGGTACAATTATATGACTGTGGGAGAACAAGTGTCTCCTCCCTGCTGGACTGAGATAGCAAATGTTGGGCCGTGCCTGTCTTGCTCACTGATGTGCACTCAGATCTTAAAATAGTGTATGAAACACAGTAGGTCTGCAGGAATGTCTGTTCAATGAATGGCTGACCCTCCTAAGTCTTTAGTACACCCTCCATTCGAGTGTGTCACAGCAGCTAGGAACTTGAGAACAGATGGAATTCATGGTCATGAACTGAAATGTGCCAAAGTGGGAGAACATGGGGCTTCAGTACAGTCTCTGGAGTGGAAGATGACTTTCCTGTCCTGTGGCTTCCACTCAGTCCTATAGTAAAATTCTCCCCCTCTGTCTCTCTCTCTCCCTCTCCCTCTCCCCCCCCTCTCTCTGTGCATTCACATGTGTCTGAATATTAGGGTTGAGACAGTGATACACATAGTAGATTTTTCACCTAAGTGACTTTCTGTCTGTGTCTTTCTCTCCTAGTTTTGGTGACTACTTTCATTGTCCAGTGGCCTGGGTTCACTGCTGGCTACTATCATCTACTCTTATCTACGATTATCTACTATTATCACACTTGCTGTGCTAGAGGACTCACCACTAACTCAGTTTTTCATATTCTTTTATCCTAATTGAAGAAATTAAGAAGGCATGTTATATGGTTCTATTTCTAAAACTCATACAACTATAACACACACACACACACACACACACACACACACACACACACACCCCCCTATCTCACTTTGGTTGCAGTGGTTGTCTGGCTTCTTCCTGGCTCTGTTTGTTATTCCCATCACCCCAGGACACATTTTCCACCTCTCAGCTCACCAGAAGCCACATAGGGCCTAGGTTGACCAGTAGGAGTTCTGTGTCCACCCCTTACCATGTGCTGGAGATGAGCAGCTGTGGAGTCTTTGCCTCCAGGGCACTGAGCTCCATCATCACCTGGTCACTGAGAGGTGCCTGGTCCAGCCTGCAAGCACAAGAGGGGGCTGTTTCTTCTGGGATCTCCCACAAGATCAGGAGGCCTCAGAGTCCAGGACCCTGGACTCTGTTGTCTGTAGATTGGGCCAATGAGGACCTTTATTAAGGGTTATTCTTGAGCCAAAACCAGGACAGAGGATGGAGAGTAGTGGGCTGAGTAGAGGGATATGTGTCCATGGCACAGTGTTAATGGGGTTGGTCATTGTGCAGGGAGATCTGTATCGAGGATGACCTTTGGGACTTTCCAGAGCTGAAATGAGGGTCTTGTCATTTATAACCCTCTCTCACAGGTCAGTCATTGGACACAGACTGTCCCAGGGAAGGGAGCATGGCCATAGATGAGGGGATTCTTGTTGGCAAAGGGCCACACATAGCCATCAGCATTCTCAGTAGCTGGAGGTCATGGCCATGTCCCCAAAGGTATTCTGGGCAGGTGTTCAAAGTAAACACATAGTGCTGGGATCATGGGTACTTACCTTGAGGGAAAGAGTCTTGGTTCCATTCTCACTTCCCTCCCCATTTACTTTAGTGCTAAGGGAGGAAGCCTTGTCCTTACACAGCAGGCACTACCTGAGGTCTGCTGGTCCCATTCTTGTGATCCTCAAGTTCCAGGATTTCTGGGTGTTAGGGTGACCTTCCCTGGGTTTCCACATACTCAGTCCATAACTGTAGCTATATCACTCCAATCTGTCTATTGTGAGGCACAGACAAGGATGGAGGGGAAAGGTTCCTGCACCTGTGAGAGGCTGTGCAGGTGCGTCAGACGCCAGCTCTGAACAGGCTCTTCAGCCTGTGAGAAACAGTCATGGCTGAAATCAGGCTGGGGAACAGAGGTTCCAAGCAGCTGGGCCAGTTTCAGCTCCCAGAGGGTAGAAAGAAAACCCTTCACTGCTCAACTGCTCCTGTGCATTCACAATTGAACCAGAGAGCTGGAGAGATGGCTCAGCGGTTAAGAGCACATACTGCTCTTCCAGAGGACCTGAGTTCAATTCCCAGAACCCACTTCAGGCAGCTCATATCCACCTGTAACTCCAGTTCTGGGGGATTTTGACTCCTCTGGTCTCTGTGGGCACCTGGACTCACATATACAAGTGGTTCTCAACTTGTGGATTTTGACTTGTGTGTGGGGTGTTGAATGACCCTCTCATAGTGGTTGCCTAAGAGCATTGGAAATATCAGATATTTACATTACAATTCATAGCAGTAGCAAAATTACAGTTACGAAGTAGCAAATAAATAATTTAATAATTTTGGGTCACCAAAGCATGAGGAGCTGTATTAAAGTGCCATAGCATTAGGAAATTTGAGAACCACTGACATACACATATACAAGGTTAATATAGTATAACAGCAATAATAATAGTAATAACAATAATAGAAGTTGAAGCAGAAGGCCTAACAGAGGGAAGTCCCAGGATATAGACCTGCTGGACTTCTGTTGGCTGGAAGAACCAGAAGACTCTGGAACCAGAAGACTCTGGGTACAGGGATCAGGAGCCTCTGTGGTTCTCTGAGCCCATGAAGGACATTGGCCAGCAACCTCTGGGAAGTTCACTAGAAACTGGCTGTGGGCTATGCTGGGGAGGTGGAGGGACAGGAGCTGGAAGAAGCTCAGAGACAGCATGAAGGGGCTGAGTGGAGGACCAGGGTCTCCAGGGCTGTAGTTTGGAGGTTTCTGAGCTGTGTGAAACTGTAGTTCAGGGGGAATGGCAGCATTTCTGGTACAGAGGACTGTCTCAGGCTGCTGTAGTGAACCGGGTGACCCTCCAGGGCTCCTGCCTCTTTCTGTTCTAGAGCTTTCCTGCTGTGGATATCGCTCTGTATAAATAAAATACCGATTGCCCAGTAGCCAGGCAGGAAGTATAGGCAGGACAAGCAGAGAAGAGAATTCTGGGAACAGGAAGTGCGTTTACTTGGTTGGGTCTGAGCAGCTGCAGGACTGGCGGGTGAGAGAGATTTGTCCTGACCGTGGGCCAGGCAGAACTGGAGAAAACTTCAGCTACACTTTCCCCAACTCTGCCTTTGTCTGGTCCCTGGCCTCAGCTTCTCACTTCTTTCTCAGGTCTTAGAAAACTCTCCTGAGCCATTGAATAATGTGGCATCTCTTAGAACATGACATTCTCAGAATACTGTTGACGCCATGGCATTCAGTAGAGCTTGTCAGTACAGAGTCATGTGCTGATGGGTGATTTATGTCTGTCTGTCTCTTTCTACTCAGCTTTAGGAGGATAGAGCCACGTGATTGTGATTTTATTCCTAGGGTCTGGAACAGTGCTTGGCACACAGGTGTCCTGATATGAACCACACACATGAATTTATAACTTGACAAATGATTGGAGCACTGTCTTGAGTAAGAAAAACCTGGGATCTGTTAGGATAATAGTCTTCCTAATGCATATGATTGCACTGTGCCCCACTACCTACTTGGTATTACCTTTGTTTTTACATATGTACATTTTATGTCATTATAATCCATCAGGTGGGTATGACACTCCATCTGATAGATGAGGAAACTGAGTTTTAGAGAAGATAGTGACTTGCTCAAGTCACGGGGTATAAGTGGCACAGCTAGTGAAGAGCCAGGGTGACTGTGCATTATCTGTCCCTTTTCTTTTCTATTCCTTGTAATCTAGTAATGCACCTGTGTCTCTTCCCTTGCATCCTGCCCAGAGGGAATCCCAGGGCCTTACTTACCACAGGATTCTGAGGTTGCAGGCAGGATTCTTGAGCTCTTCACACAGTAGCCTCACACCATGGTCACCCAGGTCATTCAGCTGCAGGTCTAGCTCAGTCAGGCTGGAGCTGGCCCTGAGCACTGAGGCCAGGTCTGCACAGTGTCTGAATGTGAGGCCACAGTTGACAAGCCTACATGGGAGATGCTCACCATCAGTTTCTCTAGGGCTCACTGCTCTTGGGAACTGAGCTCAGGTTTCCCTTCTTGAGCCCTGGCTGCTGTGCTAACAGTGCTTAGGTCTCCAGAGTGCCTTTTCTAGTCTAGGTGGATAATTCCATGCTTCCCACAACTGAGCTGCAGGAGCAATGGAGTACAGGTTGGGGACCACTTCTCTGCTGTGATTTGCCATGGCAGAGCTCCATGAGGCCCAGGACAGCTCACTGGTATATTTCAAGAGCCATCTGAAGAGATATTCACGAGCCATAGAATAGGGCATGATCTCACTTGTTATGTGAAATCTTAGTAAAGATGGAGTTCATATGTACAGAGTAGAAGGATAGTTATAAGGGCAGAGAGCAGGAGGGAATGGGGAAATGCCATTGCCTGGGCCTGGAGCTTTCTCCCCTCCTGCTTCATTTAGCTTCTTTCTCTATGTTCTTCAGCTCTCCTGTAGCCACTTCTGCAGTAGGTGGTATCCTCCTTGGGCTGTTGACAGTGACATCCTTGATGAACATCAGTCTTCATGATCCCCAAGAACAGAATCCCATTTGTTTATTATAGCCAATCTCGCATGTCACAGGTATGGTCAAGATAGTTTGGTGAATATTTGGTGAATACAAATCCTCACCCTAGACTCAGGTTTTGCATTTGATCTCCATTCCATCCATCCCTGCTTCTGGGGAGAACCAAGGCCAGACTTACCACAATGTCCTAAGGTGACATCCAGGGCATCTCAAGGTCCTACAAAGACTCCACAGTGCATAGTTGTTCAGTGGATTTCCACTTAGGTCCAGTTCCTCCAGGTTTTCTGTGAACTCAAGAGTGAAGAAGAGAATCTGCCAACTAGTATCTGTGATAGGGTTCCACCTGGACCTGAAGGAGAGAGATATGGCGGGGTGGGGGAGGCAATGAGGGATGTGAGTTGTGTGTTCATGGTGTGAGATTCACAGCCCTGCACAGCAGATTATATTTCTATCTGTCTGAGCACCATGCCTCAATATGCCATCCCCAGGATCACCAGCTTCTACATGTTCCTTTGCTCCAACATCTGGATCCTCTCCTCTGGGTGGTTCCTCATCTACATCCTTATCATAGCATGTTGTGTTCTCATTTTGTGTGTCTGTTTCTGACTCAGTCTAGGTGTCCCACAGAGTTTGAATGGGTGGTTGGCATAATTTCTCTCTTTTTTTTTTAACTCTAGAATGCCCAGCACAAGCCTGGCACAAAAGAGGACCTTGGTAACTCACAGTCTTCTTTTTGATGTGAATGTACCTGCTTTCTTTTGGAACAGAATTCTAGTCTCATGAAGGAAAACTGGAAAGGGGAGGTGGGAAGAGAACTCAGCAAAGGTGGCTGAGCATGACTGTGAGGGGATGTTGAGCATGGTCATAAACACTAAAGATGTGCTAGTTCACGTGTTCCCTACATCTCTACAAGCACAGAAGGCTGTAGAGAAGGGAGAGCGAATGAGACAAAAAGGGTGGGAAAGAGATCACTTCAGAGTGGTAGTGCCTTCCTTTAATGCAGAAAAATGGTGAGATCTAGGCAGCCTAAGCTACAAACCTGAAGGGGCTGGGAGCAGCTCCATGCCTGGCCTGTGCAACATTCTGTCTCAAACACTACAAACAAAACAAAAATAACAAACTCAAAAAACTACAACTCCAGAAACACAGATGAAAAGTGGCCAACTTTAACTGTAACAAAAAATATAGGCTATTTACTTCCAATGTTACAAAACCAAAGAAATGTCTAGAAAACCAAATACTAAACTTTGAAGGATGGTTGTTTTTTCTTTTAAAGGCTTTATTTACTTTTTACTTTATGTGTACATTGGTATTCCTGCTTGTCTCTGTGCATTATATACATGCAGAAGCCTGTAGAGGATAGAATCAGTGCTTTGGATCCTCTGGGATGGTAGTTAAAGGTGGTTGTAAGCCATCTGATGTGGGTGCTGGGAATGGATCCACATTCTCTACAAGACCAGAAATTGGTCTTAACCATGGAACCACTCCTCCAGCCCTAAAAGGCTGTTTTGATGCATGGCTAGTGTTTACACTGACTGAAAATGGAGTTTCAGCATGTACTAATTAAAAAAGCCTGAGGTGCCATTAAGAGTCTCATACATAGAAGCTGCTCACCTTGCTTCCTCTGATACCTTAATTCCCTGGACTGATCCTCTCCATTCCCTTGGCTTTGGCCAGTCTCCACTTCTGAAGTCTTTCCTTTGTGAGCAATGGCCTCCTGCTTGTCTCCCTGCCTTGTCTGGCTGTCTTTTCCTCTCAACTTCACTTTCTCACTAGCGGTTATAGCCTCTCCCTCTCCTATGAGGTTGTCCCAGGCTCCCAAGGCCACTGTCCTTTTCAAGCAGAATGGCGTTCCTGGTTTCTCTTGCCTTATCTGACCTGTCTCTGTACCTAGTTAGAATTCTTCTGAAGGTCCACATCAGACTACTTCTACTTGCAATGTCTGCATCAAGGTCCTTCAAGGCTTACTTGTATATAACCAGACACTTAGTAACAACCTTAAATGACTAAGAACAGGGAAACAGTCCAGTTGGCCAAGGTATTCTCCCTAGAGAATATCATGTTACTCAGAATGGTAACTAGACATTTAGTAGCAGGAGACTGTTGTGGATGATTGATTAATAAATAAAACACTGATTGGCCAGTAGCCAGGCAAAAATATAGGTGAAACAAAGAGAGAGAAGTCTGGGAAGCGAAAGGCTGAGGCAGAGAGACGCTGCCAGCCCCTGTGAAGAGAAGCAACATGTTAAGATACTGGTAAGCCATGAGCTACGTGGCAACTTATAGATTAATAGAAATGGGTTAATTTAAGATATAAACAGCTAGCAAGAAGTCTGAGCCATTAGGCCATACAGTTTGTAAATAATATAAGTCTCTGTATGTTTGCTTGGGTCTGAGGGCCGCGGGAACCGGACAGGAACAGGATAACTTCAACTACAAATGGTGCCCAACGGAGTTTGGGAGTTTCCACCTAAAACCTAAAAATATTTAATAAACAATTCTAAACACAGCCAAAACCAGGTTCCTGCTTCATGTCTCATACGGGCAGCTAAACACCACAACATGTGGGCTTGAGCTACAGAATGTCAGGTTCACAGTGGTGTGTGGGCTTAAATGCAGCATGGCGGATTCCTGCTATGGTACAGAGGCATCTCCAAGCCACACATTATACTACATGATAGATTTAGCCTTTGCTAATACAGACCAAAAAAAAAAAAAGAGGTTTCTTGACTACACACTGCTGGATAAAAACATAGACCCACTGCTTCCCAAAATTGGTGGTCACCATGGCTCCCAGCACTGGTGGTAAATTATCTCTACCATGTTAAAAAACTAAGTTGGGTAGAGCTAATAGCCAAGACTTCTGCTTCAATACTAGCTAGCTACTGCAGTTGAAAACATTAGGTTCACAATAAGACAGATTCAGATAAAATAGTTTACAATATATGTAAAAATGTACATAAACTTAAAAGAAAAAAATACAGGTATATAAAAAAGATAGTTTTAAAAAATAAAGACTTTAAAGAGACTATAAAGATACTATAAAAAATAAGCCATGTAAAGATAGATATTACACAGAAAATCTGGATTATGTTGTCTTTAAAAATTTTAACTTCAAAAAACATTTGATTATAAAAGCTGCTGAGTTAAACCAATATGTATATTTTAAAGATACCTTAACTTCAAAACTTGGATCTAAAGATATGTTGCTTTAAAAAGGAGGCTCTGCTTTTATTTCCACAAAAAAATAGGTTATGGACTTGTTCCAGATTAAGATACATCAGGTTTGACCAGCCAAGACCCCCTAAAAGGTCTCCGATAACACCATGGCCCAGATGATCCAATATCCAAAATGGTTTCAAGACATCTGACTCAGACAATACAGCCTCACAGACTACCCCATAATCCTAAAATTTTCTTTATGTCCCTATAAAAATACAGCGCCCTCACCCAACAAGAAGTAGTATAAAAAACTATGTACAAATTCCCAAATATATCAAGCTGGCTTTAAAGATAAAATTGGCTCACTCCTTCTCTAAACCCAAACATATTTCCTAGAAAAAAAAGGTTGAGAGATTCTTATGTCCCATATCAAAAGAGCCCTTTGGTGTGGGACAGAGAAAAACCAATATTTTTATTAATTCTGTAAGAAAATAAACATGAATATAAGATAACAGACACAGCATATCTCAGTTATATTGTAGAAATACACACACACACACACACACACACACACACACACACAAAGATTAATAGATATTCCCCAATTCTCTACTTCATGCTGTGTAGAAAATGGGATCTTGGGATTCCTAAATGAAGTATTTTGAATGAGATGTAACCAAGAGTCACAACATTTGAATGCTTTGTCCTCGATTGGTATTTAAGAGTGCTTGGGAGTGAAAGACCCTAGCCCTTCAGGCTTACACCCCCAAGCCTCAGGAAAAGAGAAACCTCAAGCACCAGGAAATGAGAAACTAAAAATCTAGTTCCAAGGGCAACCTGACTCAGCCACTACTCAATCACCTCTGTAACAATATAACAATGTAAAGAGATTTCTATTAAGAGATGTGCTCAACTGTGACTGGGAAAATTGCAAATGTTCCAGGGAGGACCTCCATGACCTGTATGTAAACTCCACTCCGTTCCTGATGCCCCCCCTTGAGGTTTCAAGAAAAATGTGCACACTGACATAACTGTATCCCCCTCTGTGATCACTCTGTAACCAGACAATTATTTTATAAAATTAGCTTCTAGACATAAATCAATCTAAATGACATTATATGGAAATTGTAATCTTGTGGGTTTTTCCTTTAAAAGCCCTTATGGGGCTGCAGTAAGATGTGACTCGTGCTCTTGGGAGCAGAGTTTGCCCTTCTGTACAGAAGCTTAATAAATCCTCCTGCTATTGCATCAACTGGACTGGAGTCTGGGTTCTTGGGGCACCCACTTGAGACCCTAAACTTTGGGGTCCAACAGGGAGGTGTGGCTTTGTGGAAGGAAGTATGTTGCAGGGGACAGACTTTAAGACAACAAAGTCTTGAGCCATTCCCAGGACACTCCTTCTGCTTTTTGTTTGTGGTTCAAGAAATGAGCTCTCAGCTGCTGCTCCAGTAACATCCTTTCCCTCTGTCATGATGAACCCTGATCCCTCTGGACCATAAGCCCAAATAAACTCTTCTATAAGTTGTCTTGGCCATGATGTTTTTTATCACAGCAACAGAAAATTAACCAACACACTAGGCAATCTCTCTATCAATGAGTTCCATCCTTAGCCATTAATATTTTGAGACAGTGTCACACTATGTAGCCTAGGCTGGACTAGGTCTTCTGACCTTCTTGCCTCAGCCTTCTGAGTTTGGGATGACAGGTGTGCATGAACAAGCTCAGTTAACCCAATTCTTAATGCTGTCCTCTCTGAGAAATGGAATTCTGATTGGTACTAATTTAATTTGTTTTGATAATTGATACATCCTCACTCTTATACAACAAGTATGTTTAATAATAATAATAATATAATAATAATAATAATAAAGTCAGTTTAATTAGGTCATCCCAATCATAGAAAATGAGTCACTGAGACAACTTCCCATATGTGTGTAACACAGTTTGATCATCTTTGTGCTCTCTGACCCATTTTATCTCCTCTCCTCTTCCTGTTCTCTAACAGTTGCTCCACTATTTTTAAGTCATTTACTTTTCATGTGGGCTTTTACTGAGTTGTTTAGATTGGTGTCAAAGCCAGAACTCTAGAAATCTCCCTGTTTTAGCCTTCTGAATGATGGGATTTCAAACTTAGGCAGTATGTCCAGCTCAGGTTATCCAGAGAAAAACTTCAACGTGTAAAAACAGAAGACTCAAAGAAAAACATTTGTTCACCCGAGAATCTCTCCCTTTCTGGTCCACTTGAGTGAGCATTCCCTTCCCTGATACCTGGTGTGTGCCTGATCAATGCGAAAGTCACACCCTATGTAACTAGTGCACTTGACTGCCTTAGCTCCAATTCTGAGGCCCCCATAGCAGCAACTGGATTTTTCCTCCTGTCATAAAATGAGTGCTTACTGAATATTGATGGTGTGAGTCATCTAGAGGGGAGAGAGATACACCCTGATACTGAGTCACCAATACAGCACAGTGAAAAGGGACCCTGGAAGGGGAAGTCTTTTCTTGCTGCTGGGATTGGCAGGAAATCTTCAGACTGAGTACCAGGGCCATGCTGCCTTCATTGACACATAAAAGAAAATCATCTGGGCAGAGAAAACAGGGACTCTTACACATGTGCATTCTGAGGTGATGGGTGAAGACCTCATGGCCAAGGTCACAGTCATGGGGGAGGGAGGATGGTGCCTGCAGGAGCTGAACGAGCAGTTTCTCAAAGAGAAAGCATGGTAAGAGAGAATCAGTCATTGTGGGCCATTTTACCTTGTGAAGGGTGAAGAAGATTTGAATCAGAGAAGGTGTGTGGCCCTCACCGAGGCAGAGGGTAAGATAAACGCTCCTAGCCTCATTGCATAGTCAGGCACAAAGTGGCAAATAGAGAAAGGTGGCCAGATTCAGCAATTAGATGTCACTGGTGACCTGTATCCTGCTGCCTTGGAACCAGCTAAGAGTGCTGCTGGTGCTCAGAACATGTGTGCTCATGGGAGCAGCTGGAGAGAGAGGGCTGTGTCTGGATACTCACAGAACCATCCTGGGGGCTGTCAGGGTTGGTCCCCGATGTCCATCCCAATTCAGCTGAAGCCTCTTCACATGGTGGCTGTACTTAATGCAGAAAGTGACCACCATGAGCTCCACATCTGTCTGGACCACCAGGTGCTTCACATTTGTCTGGAACACTGGGTGTGTCATATCTGTCGGATCACACGCCTTTTTTTCTTGAATATTGTGCATCACCTGTGTCAGGAACTCTTCATTCTGAGTCTCATAAAAACAATGAAACAACCCCAGAGAATAGAGATGTTGGTACTGGGGCAATGCTCTGGCTTTATCCAGCATTTCCCACAAGGTGTACAGAGGCAAACGGGTAGTTAAGATCTTCCCCATTGCATTTACCCCTTGTTCACTTAAAAGGCCAAATAGGAAGTGTATGGTGGGCACCTCAAACAGGTTTTGTCTTCCATACACTTCTACCAGTGTTTCCACAATTCTGTAGTTTTCCATATCACCACATTGCTCCTCATTATTTCCCAAGATGCAGGACATTGCTGCAAAGAACTCTTGGAGACACAAGTGGGCAAAGCTGTATCTCGGAGAGCTGGGCTGCTTTTGAAGGACACCAATCTCCAGGAAAGTGTCAATGACATCCTCAGATAACCCTTGCTCCTGGAGATCTATCTCACGGAACAGAGTCCTTCTTTTGCAGATGCCCTCAGCAGCCAGTGAGCAGAGTCTTCTGAGCTGGGTTCCCAGGGCACTGTCTGGGAGAGTCTGGAAAAGGTATTTCAGGCAGAGAGCTGTGGTTGTCTGTGAGGTCAGTGAGAGGTCTCTCCCCTGCTCCATCTGCTGCTTCAGGCAAGTGCAGACCAGCCAGGATACCCAGGGCACCAGACACAGTGTTGAGAGCACTGGGTTTGAGTCAACCAAGCTATAAGCTGTAATTGCTTCTCTTTGCTTTGTGAAATATTTGTAGATATATTCCTTCCGTCCAGACTCAGAGAAGCCCAGGACTTCCACCCAATGTGGCTGCTCCAAGGAAGGAATGAACTTCTGGAGATCTATGGTTCGAGCTGTGAGCAGCAAGGAAGCCCCAGGAAGTAAGGATTTCCCGAACAAACTGCCCAGCAGTGTGTGCACAGGCTGTGGCTGGCTCCAGTGCAGACAGAGCTCAGGATTCTGCTCCTCCAAGACCCATGCTGGCTCATCTATGCCATCCAGGATGAAGAGCAGCTTCTCAGGGTGAGACAGGATCTTCCTAATGGGAGCTCTGGGTGCAGTCTGGTCTTTTGCTATGAGCTCAGCCAGACTCAGCTTCTCGCACTGGGCCAGCTCTCTGCAGCTGAAGTAGAAGACATGCTGGAAGTGATCCCTGTAGAGCTGGCCTTCCTCCCATGCTCTCTTCATCTTCCTGGCCAGCATTGACTTCCCAATCCCAGCAACCCCTTCTACCACGACTAATTTAGGCCTCTTCTGGGTATCTGGGCTTGAGCGAAATAAGTCTTGGATCTCAATCAGATGTCCTCTCTCTTCTGCTACACATTCATGCCAGCTTTCCCTAACCAGACTCTCCCAGCCTCTTGGGCAAGATTTTTGTAGAAGTAGTAGCTGTGTGAAATTTTGGAGCAAATCCTCTGTTTCCAAGGATTCGGTTTGGTCAAGATTCTCTCTTCTTTCATTTTGATGTTCTTCTGAAGTGATTCCTAAATAAGGGAGAGAAAGATGGAGCATAGGTGCACACAGTAGTTTATTCTTTCATTCCTTTCTTCCTTCTTTTCATTCTTCAACAACTGGACATGCTTAGGCATCTGTCTAAGCTGTACAACAGACTTTCTGTGGGCAGTGGGATATTCTGAACAATGCAGAGCAAAGAATGGGAGCTTTAGAGTAGAAGGTTCTACTTAAAGTCTCCACTTGACCTATAATATGCTGCAAGACCTTCATCTACACACCAGATATTTATAAATGTCTTACTCTGTGCCTGATTTGCTCCTAGGGCTGAGAATAAAGGGTGAATTCACACACACAACTTTGTCTTCATTCAATCTATGGTATAATCTAGTAGCTCCACTGAGCTCAGTCTTCCCACCTGTAATTTGGGGGCTGTGGTCTCTACTGTACGAAGTCATGGACTATTGGGGGAGATTACAGACAGTGGAGTCAATGTCTGCTCCTGACAGATCTCATTGGCCTCCACCATTGCAGTGCTGACAACATTATTCTGTAAGTTCTGAGATTCTTGGTCTGTTGGGATGGTCTTAGGATGCCTTAGAGTTTATATTCAGGACATGGACTTGTCCTTGTCCCCAAAACTGGCAGTCCCCGGCTTATTTTTTACTGCCTTCCAGAGATAATTGGTAACAAGAAACCTTGTTTGTGGCTACTGTTTGGATGTTTTTTTTGTCCCCACTGAAACTCAGTTGCCAGTGTAGCAGTACGGGGAAAAGGATCTAGTGTGAATGTTTGGAGACATGGGGGCAGGTCCCGTATTAATTGATCAATACTTTCTTTTTTTAGGAAAGGGCAAGCTTTTGAGGGAAGCGGTTCCCTTTCTCTCTTGAAGGTACTGACTTGCCTATATAATGTTTTTTCTTAAGCTGAGCAGTCATAGTCTCTACTAGGACTTCCCATCTCCAGAACTACACTTTAATATACATGTTCTAAACAAACATACAACAAAAACCCAAAAACCACTGTGTATGATAGTGTAGTCCTGTAATTCATCACTCAGAAGATAGAGGCAGGAGAATCAGGAGATCAGGGCTAGCTTTTTCATATGGTGAGTTTGGAAACTTCCTAACTTACAATCATCAATCTGTCAACCAACCAACCAACCAACCAACCAACCAACCAACCAACCAACCAATCAATTAATCAGTCAGTCAGTCAACCTTTCAATCAATCAAACAAACAACAATAACAACAATAACAAATGTTACCCAGTCTCTGTTTCCTGTCCTGGCAATTGACAACAACTAACATACTTGCTCTTGATGTCACCTGCCCCACCGTTCACCACGAACACTTTGCTGGCTTCCTCCCTCCTTCCCTACTCTCCCTTCCTCCAACCAGTGTACCTAAGGAGTCCTCTCTTCACTTCTGGACCTGACCACAAATCCCATCTTAGCATCTTTAGAAGGGACTCAATATAAGGCAGATAGGAGGATGCTCCATGGACCAGAACCCAAGTTCATACCTCAGTACCTTCTGGTTGCCCAAAATACAAGGCAGCTGCCTGTCATGCCTTGGCCAAGGTGCTGAAGAAAATTTGGTTAGGGTACAGAGTGTAGCATCAGTTCATACAATTAGCCCTTGAGAGACTAGCTTCAGGGGCCAACTTGCCTCTGAGATCAGAATCTACAGATCTGCTTTCATTGTCTTCTGTAGGACGACATCTAACTGAGTGCACCAGGCTGGCCACTCATGTCTGTGGCCAAGGTCTGCCTGGCTCAGGCCATGTCTGCCCCAGGTGTAAAAGGATGGCTCAGTTCTTCCTAGGCGATGCTCTCTAAAATCTTCCAGCTGGAATGTATGTGTTACCAGGTACACATATAAATCCTCTTCAGTTCTGTCACACATCAAAAGCAACTGGGCAGCAAGATGGTTCAGAAGTTAAAGAGCTATCAGCAGACGCATGTGGACTAGAATTTTGGATCCCAGGACACCATGCACATGCTGTGTTTACACTGTGGTACTCCATCACAGTCCAATTAAAAAATGGGCTAAAGAGCTAAACAGAGAATTCACAAAACAAGAATCACAAATGGCTGAAAGACATTTAAAGAAATGCTCAACATCCTTAATCATCAGAGAAATGCAAATCAAAACGACGCTGAGATACCACCTTACACC